GGACTATCTCATAAGGATTTTTGTCCTGATATTTGCAGTAATTACACTAAACTCTACTCATATAATACTGAACTTTACTTATTGCAATAAACCATGTTTTTTAAGGCAATGAACATTATAATAAAGCATCTATAAACAAAGTTTGAGAGAAAAATTAGTCATTTAATTACCTACAAAGAGCTTCTAAATGTCTTTGTATGGCTAGATTTCAATAAATAAAGTTTAAAAAAAGATGTTTCCAAATTATTTGTCAAGAATACAAGAACAAATGAATGGAAAGCAGCACTGTATTAGCAAAAAAAAAAAAAAAAAATCTAGCCATCCATTCAAACTGAAAGTAGGAAGCCTCACAATAGGAGAGTTATCTTCAAGGACCATTTTACATAAATTCCTTCAGTTCAGTTTGTCACCAAGCTACTCTAAAAATTATTACAGAACTGGAACAACTTGCATATATAGTAAAACAGATTATTTCACTTATTACCATGTTTTAGTTGGGAGCAGTCAGAAAGGCTAAACTGAAAATATGGTTGGCTACCTTTCTAAAGATAGTGGAGATATCAGATTTTGGCACATCCCCTAAAATGAGTATATCAATAACAGTTAAAAATACAGTGAAGTCTCATTTTCTTTGGATTTAATTAGCATACACATATACCAGCTAAATATGTGTGCTTAATTTTAAAACATTAATGTATAGAATTAAGATGATTCGGCTATGTAGCTTTTATTTTAAATGCATGCAAACAGCTATTTCAAATAGAATAACTTTAGGATTAAACTTCCATGCCCTGTGGTTGAAATCTTTAAAAAATATATACTATAATTTCAAGCACTTTACTTCCTCCAATAATTTTCTAATAGTTCAAGTCAATTTTATAGTAGGTAACAGTACATGAATGATATCTGGAGTGAATGGTCACAAGAGGGAAAATTTGATCATAATTATATTTTTATAATTTATATAAATTATTAAAAATATATATTTTGAAATATATAATTAGCCTATAAATTGGCACATGTATTAAAAATAACTTCATAAAATCTTTTTGCCTTATGAAAGCACAAGAACAATGGGTAGGAGGGCCATGTTTTATTAACAGACAGAATTTGTTTTTCTGGTTTAAATTCATAAGAAACTTATAAACTCTCACTATAGTAAAAATGAAAGTAAATTAATATTAGTTCAATATTTATGGTTAGTCAAGTATTGTATAATTAGTAATTTTAAACAAAATCATTAAAGTTTACAGATAAAGGATACCACTTACAAGCTGCTCTGATTTTACACCATATAACTGAATGGTCTTTGCCACGTTTTTTGACACAGCTAATGTGAGGTTTGCATCAACAGCAGCTACATTTAGTTCACTGGAGAAAACAAAAACAGATTGTAATTATTATCAACATATTTCATCAACAAAGTAAAGAGCAACATATAAACCTAAACCCAATAAGCAATGTAGTGATTCTTTTTATAGATTTCACTGATTGCTTCCAAGAATTGGTTGCATTGTTTCTTTTCCCTCCCTAAATTCAGCACCAGGAAAAAATGCTTTGAGATGGTTTTGTTAACAACCAGTTTCTCATTAATAAAAGCATGACATGTGTGGGTTCAGTCTGTGATTAAGAGAGTAAATTGTGTACAGATTTTTTAAGTAGCACTCTTGCTAATACTGATAAGTACAATTAGAGGCTTTGCATATCACAGACATCTGCAAGGAAATGACAGCTCTTGAATGGAAATGATGACCTAGAAGGGACATAGGCTAAAAATACAAATTACACATGATACATAAAGATATTCAGTTTGTGCAGAAATTATGCCAATTCATGCCATTTTGTATAAGGTAGCTTTTTAAATACATCAAAAGCCTAACAAGACTATAATAGAAATTTTTAAAATTTGGATTCCTAAAGTATTTCTTTGTCATGCTTATTTTCAACTTTAATATTGGATAATTGGGGCATTTGATATGACTGCCAACAAAAAAAGTATTTTATAAAGATCACAGAAAGAATATTAGAGGTTAAAAATTGTATGAAAATCCATACACAGGTAGAAAGCAAGAAAAGTAATTATTATCTCTGAAGTAGTAGAATAAATCTTAGCACTTACCAGATTTCCTTTTCAAAGAAATTGAAGGAATTTGAAACAACACTGGGGCATTCTATGTATGACAAAAATGGCCTTTCATATAATATTGAGACATAGTTTTATTAATGTTCACTTTTCAACTCTATTATACACTGGCATAAGTATGTTTCTTCAAGCTCCAGATTATATTTGATTATAGCATTGTCAAATTGCATAGAGAAAAAGGAGAGTTGCCTCTTTAAAATTTACATAAAAGGTCAAAGAGGTCAGGTTGAATCTCGTACCATTTTTATCACTACCACACTAAACAGTTTACACAGACATTAGGGTAAAACATCTCAAGTCCAGACATTGGAACATCAAGGTAATTGTGAAGAGATTTAGGACCAAGACACTGGGCAATCGAGACACTTCATAGGTATGTCTGCAGCTGAAAATATGCTTATGCATATTATATACCTGTGGCTTTTTAGTCTTACTCTTCCATGCCTCAGAATCACCATCTTCAAATCTGTAATCTAAAACAAGTCAGACCTTGGGCCAATATTGCCCAACTGCTATTTTTACCCCCTAAAATGCCCACCTCAAATGTACAGACCTACTATTATGACAACTTGTTAGTTATGACAGGAACTGAGATAATCTCAACTGCAAATTAATCTGGTAACTTTAAGTGTAAATGTCTAAAGGCAACAGTATAATTACATTGTCTGCAAGCATTCGGGTGGCACCTCTGCTAGGATACCTTCCCTTTTTAGAGTCTTAAAAGCTGTCACATTCACTTAGAGAGCTTAAAATAGCGAACACAAGAGTGCTAATCAAGATTATAATCCTGTTTCTGCCATAAAGTACTTTCTGGATTTAGGATAAAAAAAACATTTACCTCTGTGGTTTAGTTCCTCAATTATAAAATTATTTTTTATATTCACTTTCCCATGTAATATTAGGAATTCACTATGGTATAAAGAGCTAGGTTTACTTTGCATCCTTGGCAAGATACAGAATAATTATAATAAACTATTTTTAGATTGTATTTAAGTGACTTTATTAATTGGAATCTCAAGTACCTACTATGTGGTGCACTCATTCATTACAAAACTCAATTTAATTGCCGGCCTAATTACTTGAATAATTTGAGATAAATTAAAATGTTATTTGATGCTATTATACATTACTAACAAATGTAGCAGTCATCTTGCCTCATGCCATTATACAAAAAATACATACCTTGCAATAGTTTTAATGATACCATCAAGTTCATCAGAGGAAGGAGGATTACGACCACCAGGGGGAAAAACCAAGTTGATAGGATCAAAGAGTCGTGATAAGGATTTTGACAGGTAAGCAGCCTCATAGGATTGCAGCGAGTCTTTCAAAGCCTTTTCTGGACTATGGGAACAAAAGGTTTTAAAAACTAACTTAAATTATACAAAACTAAATGTTTTTGTATCAGTCTGTAAATACCTTTTTAAAAAATGTATCTCCCATAAAAAACGTAACTATGCATTAACAAAAAGAAGAATTTACTTCAAAATTATAAATATATTTACAAATACATTTCGTAACTAAAGATTACATAAATACTTTAATTTACACATAAATCCTAGCTATACATGTAATGTGCACTAATACCTACTGTATTGTCTGTCTCCTAAAACTAAAACAGTAAAATCCTATTAATGCTAATGGAGGCTATGCCTTTACCTGGCAAATCCTGTTTTCATAGAGTATCAAGGAATGCACAAGAGGGACCAGACTGCAGAGACCTGCTCCATCAGTGTGGCCCTTTCCACCCACAGCTGCCACCTCCTTTAAAGTTCACTGTCTGAAAGGGAAGTGTACAGATCTAGGCTTTGCCAGTTTTCTCTTGTTTTACTAACGAAAATGACAAAAAGTATTTGTGAAAGTCCTGCACAGATAACCCTGGACTTCTAAGCTAATTTGTTTTATAATATTGTTCCCAAAATAAAACTTCTAAATTGTTAAACACTTCTTAACCTTTTATTTTCATTTAGCAATCAAACTATTGGATCTTACATTTTTCCTTCGGCAATTACTATCAAATGGCTATAACCATTTTTCCATCTGCTTCCTTACTCCTGTAATTAATGCAATATCTTCTCACATTCCCCCATTTACAATCTCTCTACCAGCCCTTCCATTGCCTTTTTTTTTTTTTTCAAAAGAACAAATTCCCCTTCATCTTGAAAGTTAACCTTATAAACATCTGACCTGCTCCTTCATGTATATGAAACCTGGTTATCTCTTTTACTCACCCTCTGGTCAACTGACAAGACCCAAAGGGCAGAATGCTCTTGGCGCCTACATCATAATTCCATAGTTATCTCCTAATGCTTCAGTAAGTATCTCACTCAACACATATTTCCTGAGAACACTATGCACCAGGCACTTAGTTAAGTGCTGGGAAGATACAGATTAAGAGTGCTTTTCAGTCTAGTGAAGAAATGGGCAGGTAAAGTGCTAATTATAATAATTTCTATAATAGAAGGTACAAAGACCACAATGGGAGCATGGAAGAACTGAGTGAAAGTTCATACCATCTATTTAAATGTCTTCTCTATTTTTGCTCATGTTATCTACTGACCTTAATAAGAAGCCTCTTCCCCCTTCTGCAGAAATTTTGGCACTGAATTGTAAGTACTAATACTCTTCTTATTCTCCAAATCTGCTGTAAAAACTCTTGGTGACTACAGTGTCAAAACACATAACTCTTCTAAAACTTGTCCTGTATTACAAGCCTACAATTATAATGTCCTTTATTTTACCTTTACTATGGAGCTTCCAAATTTGCATCATTGTTTTGAACTGCTCCACCTCTAAGATCTCCAAGCTTGAAGACAACTTTCCATATGCCCCACTGTCTATTAATATCTCTTTTCTTCCCACAAATATTAAGTCTCTACAATTTGCCAAGTATTTCTTAGTGCAGAAATATGGTAGTCAACTCGGTTAAAAAATTCCTTGTCTTCTTAAAGCTTACATGCTAACAAGCGAGATACACAAAACATAAATAAAAATCTTAAAGTAAGTTAAATATAGAATATGAAAATGATAAGTGCTAAGAGAAAAATAAAGCAAGGAAAGCAGAGAATATGTTTAAGTCTGAACTTTTTTAAAAAACCAATTTTGGATAGGATGAGGCAAGAGAAGGCTTACTGAGGAGACCTGAAGGGGAAAAAGGAGCAAGTTATATAGATTTTCAGAGGAAGAGCTTTCTATGAGTAGAGAACAGCAAGTACAAAGGCCCTGAAGAGGGACCATACCTGGCTGTTTGCCAAAAGAGAAAAAGCAGAGCAAGTAACAGGAGAGTAATACAAGGTGACGTCAGAGAAAACAGATGGACCAAATCACGTTGGGCTTTCTATACCCATAATGATGGTAGATTTTACTTAAAGAACTTGTTCTTTGACTTTATTGTGATCTGTGCTATCTGACCCTTTCCTACTCGCATCCTCAGTCAGCCCACCAGGTCTTACGTCCTCCTTTATCCGTGGCTATCCATTTTAAGGTATTCTTGTTAGCATCCTGATTTTTCTAATCGCCTCCCTTTCAAAGCTCTTACTAAGAAAATGTTAGATGCTCCCTCTATCTGCTGCCAAGCTGCCCAAGTATTGTAGAGAAAAAGCAAATTACTTCTATTAAACATTTGTACAAACCCCTTAACATCAAGAGACCTGAAGCTCAAGGTAATAACCTGAAATTCTACTTTTGCAGCCCTTCATTCTCTACAGGTGACCTTTGCCTCTGCTTTACACCAAGACCAAAACCACTGGACATGAACTTCCTCAATTCCGCACTTCTCTTGTTCCTCCCCCTCCTTATAACTTTACCTATTCTCTGTGATTTTCCTATTATTTCAATGAAAGAAGTAGTTTTACTCCTTTTTTTAAAAATCAAAACTTCTCAAAATAATTTAATCTACCTCCTCTTTTCCAATTCTCTCTTTTAAAAAAGTTTTATTAAGATATGTCTTCTGAATGGCATTTTTGTCAGCAAAAACAAGAAAAAAGAAAAACGATATATCAACATAGATAATACAGAGTGATGAATCTCTGAGTAAAAAGGTTTTATTTGGGAATAATATACAATAAGCAGGATTGTAATCTGGGATATTCATACAGATCAGGGTGGCCTCTAGTATGTCTGGAGAAGAAAGGATTGGTTAGGGTTTATTAGGGAAAGAAGAGGGTACACAAGTTGTTTTGAAAGAAAGCTTATTGGTGCTGGCAGCATTTTACAAGAGCTGGTGAATTCTGATTGGCAAGTGTTAGTAGTTGCTAGGTTGGACTTTTAATCTTGGAGTTATGGTTAGGCCCTTGCAGCTTTGGACTGTGCTTATAAGACAGTGTGTAAAGCAAGTGTTCTTGCATAAGTGGCTAGCTGTCCTTGTGCTGCTAGCTGTCCTTGTGTGACTTGTGCAGTAAGCTGGAGTTTGCAAAAAATTCTTGTGACAGTTCCCGCTATCAGGCAAATAGTGTGTGAGAGTCCTCCCTTCTTGGCTTTCCCTGGAATCTGCCAACTTTCACTGATGTACTTTACATACAATTGAATTACTTAAAGTATACAATTCCATGGTTGTGTCATATTTGAAGATATGTGCAGTCATCACCACAATCGATTTTTAGAACATTTTTATCACCTCAAAAAGAAACCTTGCATCCTTTAGCTATAACCACCCCCCAACCCTCCTCACTCCAGTCCTAAACAAACACTAATCTACTTTATATTTCTACAGATTTCACTACTCTAGATTCTCATATGAATGGGATCATATAGTATGTGGGGTTTTTTGTATGACTGGCTACTTTCACTTAAGCAAAATGTTCTCAAGGTTCATCTATATTATAGCATATATCAGTACTTCATTCCTTTTTATGGCTAAACGATATTCCATTGTATGGATATAGCACATTTAGTTTACCCATTTGTCTGTTGATGGACATTTGGGTTATTTTCATCTTTTGGCTAATCATAAATAATGCTGCTATAAACATTTGCATACAAATTTCAATGTGAAAATGTTTTTATTTCTCTCGGGTACATACCTAGGAGGAAAATTGCTGGGTCTTACAGTAACTCTATGTTTAATTGTTTGAAGAACTGCCAAACTATTTTCCAAAGCTCTGTACCACTTCAGATTTCCACCAGCAACGTATTAATATAAGGATACTAATTTCTCCACATCTTTGCCAACATTTATTATTATCTGTCTTTTTTATTATAGATGTCCTGGTGGGTGTGAAGTGGTAGTTCATTGTGGTTTTCATTTGCATTTTCCCAATGTTGACCATCTTTTCATGTGCTTCTTGGCCATCTGACTAAGTTCTTTGGAGATATCTCTATACAGATCCTTTGTCTACTTTTTAATTGTGTTGTCTTTTTATTATTGAATTGAAAAAGGTCTTTATATATTCTAGATGCAAATCCATTACCAGACATATGAGTCACAAATATTTTCACCCATTCTTGATGGTACCCTTTGAAGCACCAACATCATGAGTTTTTAATTTTTAGAAAGTCCAATATTTTGTTTTCTTTTGTTGCTTGTGCTTGTTGTGTCATATGTAACAATCCTTTATCAAATTCCAAGGCATAAAGATTTGCCCTTATGTATTCTTCTAACAGTTTTATATTTTTAATCTTTAGACCTCTGATCCATTTTGAGTCAATTTTTGTATATGGTGTGAGATAAGGGTACACCTTCATTCCTTTGCATGTGGCTATCAGTTGTTCCAGTACTATTGTCAAAACAATTATTCTTTCGCCATTAAAAGAATAGTCTCTACACTCTTTGAAATTAAACTTGTTATGGTATGATAGCAAATACAGACTAGTCTTCATGTTTTAAAAACTTCCTTAAACCTTAACGCCTATTCTCTTTCTACCTTAATATAACAGATGTATGGGTTTCTTTCTGTACTCTCATTCTGCATCTATCCTTACGCTAGTAGTACACCATTTGGATTATCATTGCTTTGTATTAAGCTTTGAAACTGGAAAGTGTGAGTCCTCCCACTTTATTACTCTTTTTTTCAGAATTGTTTTGACTATTCAGGGTCCCTGGAAATTCTGTATGAATTTTTTTTCTCCCCCCCCACCTTTTTTTGAGACAGGGTCTTGCTTTGTCCTCTGGGCTAAAGTGCAGTGGCATCATCATAACTCATTGTAACCTTAAATTCTTGCGCTAAATCAATTCTCCTGTCTCAGCTTCTCAAGTAGCTAGGACTGCAGAAGTGTGCCACCATACCCAGCTAATTTTTAAAAAAATTTTTTTTTTTAGAGATAGGGTCTTGCTATGTTGCCCAGGCAGGTCTTGAACTCCTTGGCTCAAGCAATCCTCCAGCCTTGGCCTGCCAAAGTGCTGGGATTACAGGTGTGAGCCACTGTGCCCAGCCTTGCTTTTTTTTTTTTTTTTTTTTTTAAAAAACGCATGTAACATACATCCATTTTAAATAAAAGCAGAAAATATAAAATAATAATTCTACTTCCTGGAGATAAACTATTATTACTATTTACTTTCTATGTTTCTAGACCTTTTTTTAGTGTAGGCATATGGATTTTAAAATAAAACTAAGCCAGAAATAGATTATTAAATATATATTCTATATACTGTTAAAATATGTAATATATCATTAAATCTTTGTAGATCAACAGATATGGGTTCTGTCCTTTTGTCTCCTCTTTTATTAGGCTTTATCTAATCTCCTTGTTTATCATAAAAGTTACTGAGAAGATAATCTAGACTCATTCTATCACTCCATCCCTATTCTGGCTACTTATTTTGCCAGTGAGAACTTCTTGGTTTTATTTATTTATTTTTTAGAGAGACAGGGTCTTGCTATGTTGCCCAGGCTGGCCTTGAACTCCAGGGCTAAAGGGATCCTCCTGAATAGCTGGGACTATAGGAACCCACGACTGTGCCCGACTCTAGACAGAACTTCTATATATTATATTCTGCCAGTCAGAACTCTTAACTACAGTGGACACAAACTCAACAATGTTATTTAGAAAAAAAATTAAAAGAGAAACGATTATTTAAACAGCACTCATGAATCTATCCAACATTTTTCTTACACGGTAGGTGATAAGAATCTGCTACTGCTTTAGTCAGCCTTGCCATAATAAATATGATGCTAGTGTTTAAAGAAAAGTGTAAAAGTCAATCACTTGATCTGATGCTCAAGTAGAAATTTTTAAATATTCTGTTTCAATTTTGGAGGAAAAGCTGGCTGGGTTGAACTTACTGAGATGATACACTTGTTTCCAATGTGGCTCCTATGTATGGTTACATTACAGTACTTTATGGGTGATCTAAGGGATTTTTGGGGTAGTTTTGACTATACAGTCAGTCCTCCAGATCTGCGGGTTCCACATCCACAGGATCAGTCAACCGATGACTGAAAACCTAGTTAGGCCTACAATAGTTGCATCTGTACTGAATATGTACAGACTTTTTTTCTTACCATTATTCCCCAAACAATACAGTGTAACAACTGTTTACACAGGATTTACATTGTATTAGGTATTATAACTAATCTAGAGATGATCTAAAGTATACAAGAGGATGTGCATAGGTTATAATGCAAATACTAAGCCATTTTATACAAGAAACTTGAGATTCCACATGGTCCTGGAACCAGTCCCCTATGGATACTAAGGGATGACTGTACTCAGCTTTTCCTTAACACACTTAGAACCTATCCCAGCATAAGGTTTATCTTCCCTGTAGTTTCTGAACACACCAGTTCCTTTTATGCCACATTTATGCCAGCCCATCAATAATAATGCTATCTGATGTATTATAATTACAGGTAAAATATCAGCTAAAATATAATGACCATATATTCTCATCTCCTAGCCTCTCATCATTTTATTTAGTGTTATACTTATAAAATTGAGTCTAGCAGGAACCAGAATGTTCAACTAAGGGTGAAGTTTAACTTCAGCTAAAAGTCTTGCAAAGTCTTTTAAGGTATACAAATAACAATCATTACAAATATTTAGAGACTTAGTATATTCCCAATTTGTAATTTAGAATTAAAATAAGAGGCAAAAATCCTTAACATGCAAACAAACAGGTCAAATTAAATAAACATACTCAAAATCTGGCTTTTTTGCTATGAATATATCTTGTGTATCATCTTCCATGTGTTGCAGGTCAACAAAGAGGTCTGTAGTTCCACTTGCATTAAAATTCCCTTGGATATTTTGACTGTATTGTTGAAGACGTTTCCATAAGTCATTACAAAGACGCAATAGTTTAGGGTATTCTCCCTCAAATGCCTGTTTCAAAAACATAGAAGCTGCCAAGCAAAACAAGAACATGGATTAATAATAAAACAATAAAATATAGTAAATGTTTCTTTTGCATATGAAAATTATATTATAAACAACCCACACTACAGGACAAACCAAAGACATGTTCCAATGAGGCCTTTTAAAATAATGCTAGTAACAGTAATTTTTCTCTCAGACTATTCACTGCATTGATAGGTAGATCATATATTTTGAAACTTACTCTACATTAAAAATTAGAAAACCCTACAATTATAATTGAAGATTTCAATTCTATCTCTCAATAATTGATAAAACAAGTATATGGAAAATTGGGATACAGAAAACTAAATAGCACTACCACCCACCCAATTGACTTAATTTACATTTATACAACACTTAATCCAAAACAGCAAATACACATTCTTTTCAAGGGCACATGAAATATTTTCCAAGATCAACAATATCTGGTTCCATAAAACAGGTCTGAATAAATTCAAAAGGCTTAAAATCATACAAAGCATGCTCTTAAATCAAAATAGTTTTAGGTTAGAAATTAGTAACAAAAAGATATCTGAAAAATTCTCAAATACTTGGAATTAAAAAATGTTTCTACGTAATCCATGGGTCAAAAAAGAAACCAAAAGGGAAATTAGAAAGTATTTTGAACTGAATGAAAATGATAACACAACATACCAAAATCTGTGCGATGTCACTAAAAGAACAGGGGAAATTTATATAAATACTTACATTTGAAAAGAAAAAAGTTCTCAAGTCAATGACCTAAGTTTCCATTTTAAGAGCATAGAAAAGAGGGGCAGATAAAACCCAAAGTCAACAGAAAAAAGAAAACAATAAAGATCTGTACAGATATCAGTGAAACAGAAAACATAAAAACAAGAGAGAAACATTGAAACCAAAAACTGGTTCTTTGAGAAGATGAATAAAATTGACAAACTTCTAGCCAGATGAATCAGGAAAAAAGAGGAGAAAGAAATTAGCCATGTTAGGAATAAGGGAGGTGGCCTCATTACATATTACATAATATTCTACAGATATTAAGAGGATAATAAAGGAATTATGAACATATGCCAATACATTTGAAAATGTTCATAAAATGGACAAATTCCTTGAAAGACACAAACTACCAAACCTCACTCAAGAAGAAACAGATACATATATATAGCCCTGTATTTTAATTAAAAACTTTTTTTTTTTTTTGAGACAGAGTCTCGCTCTGTCGCCTGGGCTCGAGTGCCGTGGCATCAGCACAGCTCACAGCAACATCAAACTCCTGGGCTCAAGCGATCCTCCTGTCTCAGCCTCCCTAGTAGCTGGGACTACAGGTGCACACCACCAGGCCCGGCTAATTTTTTCTATTTTTAGTAGAGATGGGGTCTCACTCTTGCTCAGGCTGGTCTCAAACTCCTGAGCTCAAGCGATCCTCCCTCCCTGGCCTCCCAGATTGCTAGGACTACAGGCATGAGCCACCATGTCCAGCCTAATTAAAAACATTCTACAGAGAAAAACTGCACGTCCAGATGACTTCAGTGGTGAAAAATTTAAGAAAGAAATAACGATTCTACACCAATTGTCAACTGATTACCCTGATACCAAAACCAAAGACATTAAAGAAAAACAAACAGAAACTACAGAAAAATACCCCTCATGAGTACACATGCAAAAATTATAAACAAAATTTCAGCATATTTAGTCCAATAATATATAAAAAGAATAATACATCACAATCAAGGGGATTTATCCCAGGAATTCATAGTTGGTTTAACATTTAAAAATCAATCGATATATTCATCATATTAACAATCTAGTAAGAGAAAGCATGTGATCTTTTCAATAGATGAAGAGAATGCATTTGAAAAAAATCTAACATTCATTCCTAATAAAAACTCTCAGTCAACATGGAACAGAAAGGAATATCCTCAACCTGACCAAAGGCATCTATGAAAAACTACAGCTAATGTGATTCTTAACAGGAAAAGAGTTTATATTTTTGTTCAAAAATCAGCAACAAGACTATGATGTCTGCAGTCATCACTTCTATTTAACATTGTCCTGGAGATTCTAATCAGTGCCATAAGACATACGTACATAAATAACATTCAGATCGGAAAGGCACAGGTGACACAGTCTTTATCGACAGATAACATGATCACCTATGTAGAAAATCTGATGGAATCTACCAAAAACACTAGAGTTAACATAATAAGTGAATTTAGCAAAGTTACAGTATCTAAGATCAATGTGAAAAACTCAATCATATGTGTACATCCTAGCAATGAACAGATATTGAAATTTACAATAGCACAATTCACAATAGCATTAAAAATGTGAACTTAGAGATGTATCTGACAAAATATAAAAGATCTGCATCCTGAAAACTATAAAAACAATGCTGAGAAAAACTGAAGATGACCTAAATAAATAGAGATAACACATTCATAGTTAGAAAGATTCAATACTGTTAAATGTAAATTATCCAATTAATCTATATATTAAACACAACCTCATTTAAAATCAGTGAAGGCTTTTCTTGTAGAAATTGAAAAAATGATCTAAAATTCTAAAATGCAATGGACTTAGAATAGCCAAAACAACCTTGAAAAAGAACAAAGTTGGAGGACAAATATTACCTGGTTTCAAGACTTGCAAAACTATAGTAATCAAAACATTGGTATTGTATAAAGATAGACACATAGATTAATGGCACAGTATAGAGAGTCAAAAAACAGACACGCATGTGGAAAACTGAATTTTGACAAAGGTCAAAAGCAATTTAGTGGATATAGGGTACATTTCAACAAACAGTACTATAACAATTAAATACCTATATGCAAAGAAAATACCCTTTAAATCCAAATCCTGTATATTACACGAAAATTAACTTAAAAAAGATCAAATCTTCTAAAACAAAACCTGTGGAGAAATTTTTCTTTCCTTGGGTTAAACATGATACGAAACCAAAAGTATGATTCATGAAGGAATAACATCATCTAAATTAAAATTATCTTCTCTGCAAAAGACACTTCTAAGAGAATGAAAGGACAAGCCCCCAGGGAGGGAAATAAATTTCCCATATATCTGATGAAACATTTGTATCTAGAATACATAAAGAACTCTCAAATCTCAACAATAAAAAAAACCCCAATTTTAAAAATGAGACCTTTATCAAAAAAGGTATATGAATGTCACATAAGCACATGAAAAAACACTCAACATCTTTAGTCAATAGGGAAATACAAATTGAAACCACAATGAGATGCAACTATGTAACTATTCAAAAATCAAAAAGAGTGACTATATCAAATGTTGGTGAGGAAAGGGGAATTGGAATTCTTGTATACTGTTTGGGGAAAGGAAAAATTATACAATCATTTTTCGAGAGTTTAGCATTTCCTTAAAATGTTAAATATATACCTACCATATGGTTAAACCATTCCATTCCTAGATTTTATCCAATAAAAATAACAGCATTTGTCCATATAAAGACTTTTATGAGAACATTCGAAGCACCTTTATTTGTAATAGCAAAAAACTGGCAACAACCCAACATCCATCAACAGGTGAATTCATAAACAAACTGTCATATATCCATACAATGGAATACCGCCCAGCAACAAAAACGCACTACAATATAAATGAATCTCAATAAAATCATGCTGCATGAAAGAAGCCAAACAAATAAATTCAATTTTACAGAATTCTATAGTGACAAAAAGGAGATCAGTGTTTGCCTAGGGATAAGATAGGGAGATGGTGGGGAGAGTAATTACAAAGTGATATAAGGAAACTTTTGGGAGTGATGGATATGCTAACTGATCTTGATTGTTGTGATGGTTTCATGGGTATAACTCATATGTCAAAACTTATCAAATTGTATACTTAAAATAAGTGTTTATTTTATGACAGTTTTATGCCAGTAAAGCTATTTTAAAAAAGAAATTATCTCAGAGAGAACTTCTCTGACTTCCCTCTTCTGATAAAGAAGCAATCCACCATGGACCCCAAGTATCACTTCACCTTCTTGTAGGGCCTGCCAATAATGTAAGGCCCTAGTTGGTCTTTTATTTGTAGCAAGCAACCTTGAGAGATAGGGTAATATCTTCTTGTAGACAGAGAACAGATTTGCTTACTGTTCACTATAAAAGTAGTAGTTTCTCCAAGCTCAAAGTTCCTTAACTGCGATACAAACTCACAGCATATATATCACCCACGTGGGCCCATGTCCTGTCTCCCTATAACATTTGGGGACATGGGGAACCAACAAACAATATGCAAATGCTTATGCTTCTTGCTGTGCTGTGATTAATAAAGTTCCTTTTCTCTAATCCAGGAGCCTCAGATCTTCTGACAATATTCATAAAACTATGGAAAGTTAGCCTTTTTAAGTAAGATAAAATCTCTGATCCTTCGGAGTTCTTGAACTCCCTCAATCAAAATTCTCTCCCAACAATCTGTTCTTTGCTTTCTTTGTATTTATCACAATTTCTAAACATATTTGTTTGAAGTATGTTTCTCCTACTTGACTGTAAATTCCATGAAGACAAGGACAATGCCTGGTTTCTTGAAAGTACACTTAGTACCTAGCACAGTGCCTGGAATAGTAGAAATTAAGTAAATATTTTGTGGATGGCAGAATGAAGGTAAGTCTTATTTTTTAATGGATGATATCACTTTCATTGAAATCTTATCTATATGGAACAAATCATTGTTGAGATTTTCAGATAGCCAAACTTCGCCCATGTTATCTCAGCAAATGTGATTAATTAATTGTAAATTACTTAAGTCAAATATATTTAAAGCTTACAAATAAGTATTGTCTATTTAAATCTTGAAGCTAAGTTCTATTTTAATTTCTTTTTATAAAGTATTCACATGACTTATATAATTTGATTATAATCAATTACTTATTTGATAAATACTTATATAACATCTATTATATACCTTAATCTAACAAATCATTTATAGACAGAAAATTACAGGTTATTAATTCCCAGATACTTGAGAATTT